GAGCTGTACCTATTGTCCATTTCCATCATAACCATCAGACAACTCCTTATTACAGTTATTTCTCTTTCATTACCATTTTTGTCGAGCCTTCGACTTTTGTCGAAAAAGCGAGACATAGCGATCCTACATTCCGTCTGCGTCGGCGGCGTCCACAAATATTCACTCTGTGGTTAAAGTTTTTGAAATTTTAATAACTTTCTCAAACTATCCTGGATTTCTACCAAACTTGGACAGAAGCTTGTTTATGATCATAAGATAGTATCCAGAAGTAAATTTAAAAAAAAAAATTCCTGTTTTTCCGTATTTTACTTATAAATTAACTTAGTTTTTCTGCCAGGAAACATTACATTCACTCTGTGGTTAAAGTTTTTAAAATTTTAATTACTTTCTCAAACTATCCTGGATTTCTACCAAAATTGGACAGAAGCTTGTTTATGATCATAAGATAGTATCCAGAAGTAAATTTTAAAAAAAATATTCCTGTTTTTCCGTATTTTACTTATAAATGGACTTAGTTTTTCTGCCAGGAAACATTACATTCACTCTGTGGTTAAAGTTTTTAAAATTTTAATAACTTTCTTAAACTATCCTGGATTTGTACCAAACATGGACAGAAGTTTGTTTATGATCAAAAGCTAGTATCTAGAAGGAAATTTTTATTAAAATTTTGTTCTTGCTTATCCATATTTAACTTATAAATGGACTTAGTATTTCTTCCAGTTAACATTACATACAGTCTGCAGTTAAATTTTTTAAAACATTTATTAGATTCATAAACTATCATGGATTTTTACCAAACTTGGACAGAAGCTTCTTACAATAAAAAAATTGTATCGAGAGGAATATTTTTATTAAATTTTTTCTTCATCTCATTTTTGTTGAGTCTGCGATTAACAGCAAAAGTAGGCGAGACACGGTTCCATGGAACCCTTACGAATTTTTACCAATTTTTGGGGTTTTTGCCTTATATCTTAAAAACTATAATAGATAGATAGAAACTTAAATAAACAAAAATTATCAGGAAGACATATATCTACAAATTGAATGGTCGAAATCGTCAGACGAATCCTTATTGGAGTTTTTGCCCTTTTATGACAGTTTTTACCATTTTTTTTTGTGTTTTTGCCTAATATTTAAAAAACTATAAAAAATAAATAGAAACTTAAATAAGCAAAAATGATCATCAAGACAAGATCCTAAATTAAATCTAAGGCCTTAATGGAGTAATTGCTCTTTAATGACGATTTTCAGTGGTTTATCTTCTTATTATTTTTATATATTAATAGATAAGACTTTTAAATAGCAAAAATTACCAACAAGATAAGATCTACAATAAGTCAACATGGTAGAAATCATCAGGTGACTCCTTATTGGAGTTCTTAAATTCAGATATAGTTGGCCATACCTTTTTAAAATCCTTTCACATTTTGTCATACAAAGGCCTTTTTTAGCTTACAATACAGTACATGTATAGGTTTTCTCATTGTAGAAGACTGTACAGTGACCTAAAGTTGTTTAAATCCCCATTCTAAGTTGGATAGTTGTCTCATTAGCAATCATTACATATCACATTTTATATGTCAAACTGACACACATACTCAAGCAACAAATCCTACACCAAATATTGTCAATCTAAAAATACTGGGGGACAGACTTCATATTTATGAAAACTCAAGACTACTGGAACATGAATTGAGGTGCAAGCCATACAACAAATGTCAATTGGACATAGTATCTTCAATACAAACCCACAAACCAAAAATTATTTACCAATTGTGTAAAGTGAACAAGGAGTAAACCTTGGTCTGGATCCACTAGTCTGAAATTGAGGACAAGGCTGTATAATATGTTTTGTTTGTTTGCTGATGTTTAAAGCCAATCTCATTTACCTTAGCTATATGATGGCAGCCAGTTTTTATTAATGGAAGAAGCTGAAGTATAGTCCGTTTGACTTCTATAAATCTTCAGAAAATAATTCTTAAAAATTCATTTTTGCAAATAAACATTTTTTTTCTTGGTGTATGTTAATGTATGATATATACGAACTCTGACTATGAATATCATAATTTTGGGCCAATAATCAAAAAAATTACCCATTAGGTCTCTATGTTACTCCTATTTTTTTTAATATAAAATACTTGATGGAGTAAGTATGAATAGTGTAACAGCCTTCCATTCAAAACAAAAACATTAGACATGTGTTTTAAACCTGTTTCATTGTACCATGTGACTTAACTCATTTAAATATCAAAGGACACTATACATGTCATGAAAAATTACCATCATCTAAGTTTTTTTATAACTGGTTTTATGATTTTATAAATGAACTTGCATGTATCTACAAAGATGTTATTTGTGGGAAAAAATATTATAATCAGATGTTTTTATTTTGTTTCACCAATAAGTATTTACAGAATACATTTTATATTTACTTTTTTCTTGAAAAAACACAGCTTATGACTTTCAAAATATGAAAATGAAATTAGATAAAATATAACCATAAAGACCTTTACTGATGAAAAGGGGAACTTTTTAATAAAATTTCTAAACTGAATTTTGCATAAAACTACTTTGTAGTTTTTAAAAATGTTATACTAGTATTGTCCAGTGGAAAATATTACTAAGGTTACTCATAGAAATTGAACAATGAAAAATACAAAATCATGTAATTATACAATAAGTTCAGTAATCACATGACATAAAACTTAAATGAAGTCCAAGTTTGTGAGCTGGTCAGCGTTATTTAAATGAGAAAAGTCACATGGTATAATGAAACAGGTTTAAAGCACATGTCTTATGTTTTTGTTTTGAATGGAAGGCTGTTACACTATTCATACTTACTCCATCAAGTATTTTATATAAAAAACTAGAGGCTCTCAAGAGCCTCAGTGTCGCTCATCTGTATTTACTGATGCTTTGGAAATCATGTAAAATAAGGTTAAAATCATAATTAATAGTATTAGATGTTAGATATTATAATGATATCTAAGATAATAACAAAAAACTGCAAAATTTTTGTAAAATTACTAACTCAGGGGCAGCAACCTAACAACGGGTTGTCGGATTCGTCTGAAAATTTCAGGGCAGATAAATCTAAATCTGATGAACATTTTTGCCACCTGTCAGATTTGCTCTACATGCTTTAGTTTCAGAGATATAAACCAAAAACTGCATTTTACCCCTATGTTCTATTTTTAACCAAGTCGGCCATGATGGTTGGAAGGCGGGGTCATAGGACAAATTTTTTAAACTAGATACCCTTATAATGATTATGGCCAAGTATGGTTAAATTTGTCTCAGTAGTTTCAGAGAAGAAGATTTTTGTAAAAGATTACAAAAATTTACAAAAAATTGTTAAAAATTGACCATTAAGGGCAATAACTCCTAAAGGGGTCGACTGACAATTTTGGTCATGACAACTTGTTTGTAGATCTTACTTTGCTGAACATTATTGCTTTTTACAGTTTATCTCTATCTATAATAATATTCAAGATAATAACCAAAAACTGGAAAATTTCCTTAAAATTACCAATTCAGGGGCAGCAACCCAACAACAGGTTGTCAGATTTGTCTGAAAATTTCAGGGCAGATAGATCTTGACCTGATAATCAGTTTTACCCATGTCAGATTTACTCTAAATGCTTTGGTTTCAGAGATATAAGCGAAAATCTACATTTTACTCCTATGTTCTATTTTTAGCCATGGCAGCCATCTTGGTTGGTTGGCGGGGTCATCGGACACATTTTTTAAACTAGATACCCTAATGATGATTGTGGCCAAGTTTGGTTAAATTTGGCCCAGTGGTTCAGAGGAGAAGATTTTTGTAAAAAGCTAACGACGACGATGGACGACGACGCCGGACGCCGGACGCCAAGTGATGAGAAAAGCTCACTTGGCCCTTGGGGCCAGGTGAGCTAAAAATAGGAGTAACATAGAGACCTAATGGGTAACTTTTTTGATTATTGGCCCAAATTTATGATATTCATAGTCAGAGTTCGTATATATCATACATTAACATACATCAAGAAAAAAAATATTTATTTGTAAAAATGAATTTTTAAGAATTATTTTCTGAAGATTTATAGAAGTCAAATGGACTATACCTGGAAAGAATCACCAACCTTCTACAGGAAAACTGGCAATCCTTATTAATGAAGATCTGAGTCAAATTCACCTTCCCACACAAGTGGTTCGAACTCACAACCTCACAAGAGTTACAGGCTACTGATCACTGTAGATGAACTACTAAGACCGCTTATAAGCTCATAACCCCCTCCCACCTATATGTCATATGCCCTGTACAACACCTCTACATACCAAATATAAATGAACTATATTTATATATACCCATTATCTATATATAAATATAGTTTCAGAGAAGGAAAAGACTTAAACCTATAAACTGACCTTTGGATCATGAAAATGAGGTCAAGGTCATGTATAAACAAGATTGACAAGGTCTCATCATGAATTACTTATACTCTGTGTGAAAATTTTCATCCTTGATGAGAGTGGTGACATGAATTTGCTATTTTGTGGCGGTCAGTTTATATTGGTGGAGGAAGCCGGAGTGCTTGGAGAGAACCACCAACCTTTGGTAGGAAAACTGACAATCCTAGTCAATTAAGATTGGAGTCGAGTGCACCTGCCAAGTGTGGGATTCAAACTCACAACCTTAGTGTTGACTGGCTAATGATACAGTAGTTCAACTACTTAGACTACTCGGCCACAGAGGCCCCTATTACATCGTAGATGTACCTTTCATCGATAATGCTGCTAAAAATACCTCAAGTTTTCTCCATTCGGAAAATCATGAAATTTTTACAATTGTGAACAAAATTGAGGGTTCATATTCATTTGTATGCAAAATTATGTACCATGTTCTGGAAAGTATGAAGGTTAAAAACATATTCTTATTAAAAAAATCCATGTATAATGATTGTTTAAGATTCTATGGCAGGTAAATATTTGATAATAAGAATGATATATGAAGCATGGACAACAATTATAAACAGTTTAATTCTTAATTATATGTACATCATAATCAAAACAAGAGTATGTATTAAGTCTAATCGTAATAATTGTTCTTCGTCATCTCTTCATACGCCCTGGCTGTGTATCATATTCTTCATAAACAGGAAACTTATCTGGAAGAAGAAAGGTTGAAATTTTTAAATTTTGATATGCAGAATAGATGTATTGGTTTTATTTCATTTTTGTTCAAATCACACCTCTATGTATTGCCTACTCTTTTTAAGCTTTTATTTTAAAACTGATAAACAGAATGCTCTTTACTCTAGTTATATAAAATTTACTTTTGCATCAGACAAAAATCTTGTTATTCCATTGGCTCTGACTATATCAAATCTTGTTACACACTGACACTATATGGGCCACATACCATCATTTTAACTATTATACAGAACAAATATGTTTACACAGCTTTAATCACTTATGAAAATAATTAGGTTACATAAGAAAAAATATCCGATTTGAATTTTTAGTTTTTTCGAAAATATCTTTCAATTAAACTTTGACACATTGGATTCAATTTACATTAATTTAACATCAATGGGACTATAAACTTTACTGACTTGAACCAAGAATTCGAATCAACCAAGTTCGACTCATCAGACGCTAAAACGCATTTATCCAATGGGAATATTACCGGACCTAGAAATTACCTCGACTCAGATTTTTCGACACAACCAATTTCTGAAATTTTTAGACCACAAGATATAGCATAGATAAGAAGTTATAGCAGTAGGCTCAATCTGTCCATTCCCTTTATTGTTTTGAGATTATTTGACCCAGTTCCAATCATTTGTGCCAATGTGGTATGGTAAAAAATATTGTATATGCATTGAATAAGATTTAAGATGGAAGAATCCATCAATCATTTTATTTGGAAGAAATCTTTGGAGTTTTTCAGAGAATTTATAAAGAGTGTTGTTTTTGTGATAATTAAGGTAAACTAATAAGATTCAAATATTTTAATGTTTTGTTTACAGATCTAGATTTGTATTCTTTCATGAATTATCAGATGGAAGTGCTTGACCAATTTGAATATAAACTGTTAACACAGAGATATGTCTCGCCTATTTGTTATTTTGATAATGCAAATGTTGAAATTAAAATAGCAATACTTTATTAATATGTAAGTTATGCAAATATTCAAAGTCAATGAACCATGACTGAAGATACAGGGCTAAACAATCTCCATGGAAATGAGATGTGCCAAAACTAATACAACTGTATACCAAATACCACTGAAATCTCATCAGTCGTTCCCTTTAACACAAACATTAACTTGTAAACTATGTAAAAGTTTCAAAGTTAATGAACCATAATGAGGGTAAGGGGTTATATAATCTCCATGGAAATGAAACTTGCAAATGCCAATACATTTGCATACCAAATATCATTGACTTAACATTAGTGGTTCATCTTAAACTGACCTAATCACAAACTAATACATGTAAACCAAGCAAAAGTTTCAAAGTCAATAGACCATGACTGAGGGGGCGGGGCCAAATAATCTCCATGGAAATGAGATATGCCAATGCTTATACAACTGCATACAAAATATCATTGACCTACCACTAGTGGTTCCCCATAAACTGACCTAATCACAAACTAATACATGTAAACTAAGCAAAGTTTAAAAGTCAATAGACCATGACTGAGGGGGCGGGGCCCAATAATTTCTATGGTAATGAGATGTGCCAATGCTAATACAACTGCATACCAAATATCATTGACCTACCACTAGTGGTTCACCATAAACTAGACCTAATCACAAACTAATACATTGTTGATGACGCCGACACCAGAAACAGCATACCTTTGTCTCGCATTTTGACTCCGTCAAGACGAGACAAAAATGAAAGGATTCAGCTATTTTGTTGAAATCTTTATCTTGGATGATGGCAAAAAAAAATAGGGTACTTTTTTAAGCTAGTCATCACTAGGATGTCAGGTTTAAAAATGTTTGATGTCCCTGTCTCTGATCTATAAGCCAAAATCAAACAGTTTCACCATTACATATATTTATATGGTAGAAAGTTCATCAGATTTTGCCAAATCCCCAAAGTGTCTTACTTGATTTTCCGTGTATTGACTTTGTTACACCATCCCCTTCTGGATTTTCAGATTCCTGAAAAAAATGTAATAAATATGCATTATGAAGATCCTATAATCCATTCATTGCACTTTATACAGTATTTCAGAGTAAAATTAGATGTAAGGTTATAATAATTATAAGATAATGACTTAGCAACTTAAAAAAACAACCAAAAGAGACATTTGACATTGTTTATGTTTTCAACTGTTAAGCTGAAGTTGATGGAAGTTTAAATTTCCTCTTACTTAGTACTTACTCTTACAGGAATCTAAAAAAAATAAAATGCTCCGCTGGGCTCAGCTTGATACGACCGCAGAGGTCGAACCCTGAACAGTTGGGGCAAGTATGGACACAACATTCAAGCTTGATACACACTGAATTTGGATTGTGATTAAATATTTGACACAGCATAGGTTTCTGACACAGAATGAATCTGGTCTAAGGACTTATAAGTTTTTAATTTACCTATTCAAACCATATCATTATTATTTGCTTTTATATATAAATCAGAAATAACCAATTTAAAATGGAAAATTTTAAAGAAAAAAAAGGAGAAAAAAAGGAAAAATGATTCATCACCCCCAAACTCAATCCCAGCCTTCCCTTTGTGGTATGGTACCTTGCAGTACAATTTCAGAGAGATCCATACACTTACACACAAGTTATTGTCCTAAAACTAGAAAAATGCTTGTTTTTTGCCCCTTTTTGGCCCCTAATTCCTTAAATTTTGAGGCATTTACCCCCAAAATCAATCCCAGCCTTCCCTTTGTGGTATGGTACCTTGCAGTACAATTTCAGAGAGATCCATACACTTGAACACAAGTTATTGTCTGGAAACTAGAAAAAATGCTTATTTTTGGCCCCTTATTCCTAAACGTTTTGGGCAATTACCCCCAAACTCAAACCCAGCTTTCCCTTTGTGATATGGAACCTTGTAGTACAATTTCAGAAAGATCCATACACTTACACACAAGTTATTGTCATGAAACTAGAAAAATGCTTGTTTTTTGCCCCTTTTTTGGCCCCTAATTCCTAAAATTTTTGAGGCAATTACCCCCAAAATCAATCCCAGCATTTCCTTTGTGATATGGAACATTATGGTACAATATCAAAGAGATCCATACAATAACACACAAGTTATGTCTGGAAGTTACAAAAATGCTTGTTTTTGGCCCCTTTTTGGCCCCTAATTCCTTAACTGTTGGTACCATAACCCCCAAAATCAATCACAACCTTCCTTTTGTGGTATTGAACCTTATGGTATAACTAAAGTTAGAGTGCGAAAAATCAATGTGTCTTCGGACGACGACGCCGGAGGACAACGACGACGACACTAACATCATACCAATATATAACCTTTTTTGCGGTCGTATAAAAAGCAGTAGAATCAACTATTTGATTACCTTTTTCAATCTATCCTTCATTTCAATTTCTTTGGCTCTGTGTTGAGTTCTCATCATCAGTACATAATTTCTATCAATTTCCTATTAATCAATAAAAAAGGGAAAAGTTAATCTTTACTCTATGCAAGTTAATCTGAATGTTCAATGCAAAAATAAAGTTTTTTCATGTTGTGACGGAATGTGGGATATCTAAATAATATGTAAAGTAAGATATCCTTTCCAATTATACTCATTTAGAATGCATCCATAGATCTTAAAAAGTGCAAAACTTTCATGGTATCACAAAGAAAATTTGAGACCGAAGATTGTCATAAGAATAAACAATCAATACAAAATTAAGTCAAATAAATCTCTTTACACAACAACAATAACAAAAAAACAAAAATACATTAACAATTAAAAACTTCAAAATATCAAGATAAAATTTAATCTAAATAAAATATGACCATTGTTTTGAAGAAAGTCATCAGCAATCAATTGGAATTGTTCTGATGATGTCATGAAGAGACATATTGTTACTTTTTTAATTCCTACATACTGATCTTTTAAGCATCAGCTTCATGAGGCTGTCACTATGCCAATAAGTCAAGATTTAGTTAAATTTAGATCTGTATAATAATATTATTAATTGAATGACTTTCTTATAATTTTACATTATTATCAATCTAGAAGTGACAGTCTAGAAATCACTAGGCCTTATTTAAAAAAAAATGTATATACATTCATGTTTCTAGTAACTTCTATTAAGTCATATGTACTTTTGTATTGACACTTTTGATCTGTGTAAATATATTTTCAATAGACTACATTTGAGTTCGTTGCATTGCTGTCAAAAACCTTGATTTTAGTGAACATCATTCATGTGTTTAGGGGCAATGTCACTTTCTTCCCATGTTCAGCGAGCGGTTGAAAAATATGATGCTATATTGCATGAATTATTCCACAAATTAAATTCTTATAATTGATAATCAGCACTCCTGTCATTAGGGAATTGTGATTAAGTATCTGCGGAACAAACATTATTTCTAGTTTATCCTGTATAATGAAGATCACGAAGATGCTTGATGAACTTTAATAGTGCAGGAATACAGGCAGGCCCCTCTAACTGGTAAATGACGTCATAAAGGCATGCATAATTGATGAACTTTTTGGTGAAGGACATTACTCAAAAGTGGTCTCGAAAGGTAGCACAAAAAAAAACATGAGATCTTGATATAATTACCTCTTGTGTTGGTGGCTCTTTTCGTGTAAACCGTAGCCATGCTACAAATAAAAAAAGAACTATCTTGGATTTTTTCTAGTACAAATGTATATACTCTTTAATAACAAATAGATTTTTGAACACAGTCCATTTCAGATGATTTTTAACCTATTTTATACATACATGTATAATCCATACAATATCAAATAAATTGATTACAACATGACAAAAGGAATGGGAATATAACCTAGCCACTATTACTTATAGCAAATAGGATTCATAGTCATATATTCACATATTATACAGTATTACAATGTACCATGTAAAACCCACTCAGTAATGAAGTCTCCTTGATTTGTTTCAATAAAACCACAATAATTTTAAAAAAAAAAACAGCAAAGATAACAGTAAAATTACTTTTTTTCTTCGAACCCCCTCATATATTTATTTCTGGTACAGCCCTTATTGTAACAATACATATAATGTAGAAATATTGTTAATTCAAAAATTATTGCCATTTTTTAAAAAAGGACAAAAAAGTGAGATTATTGCGATTTCAGGAAAATCTGCATACAGTTATATGTATCCGAATCCGATACTAACCCCGTCACATTATTCATATTAATAAAAACTTGCAATAATTAACAGTAGATAAAGATTGACTTAGTATGAAATTTATGTGTTTACAACATTTTAGAAAATTTGTAGTCATGGAACATAATTTAGATAAAAATAAAAGAATGTGTCTGAAGACAGGAATGCCCCCACTCAAGCTTTAAACAAATGAAAATGGGACGGACAGACAGAAAGACGGAAGGACAGAAAGACAGAAAGATGGAAGGACTGACGGTCAAGGGTAACACTTAAACACTTAATGCCCCCGTCGTATGATACAGTTGCTTAAAAATTGCAAAAGTCACTGATGATTGACATCTTCTTTTCTTAAATACTTCATATATTACAGGTCCATTCTGTAGGGATATCAGAAAGGGTATCATCTGCTCCAACTTTCTCTTTTGCCTCCACCCATCTTCTTCCTCTTCCTAACTTTTCTCTGTCTGCAAAGAAAAAAGTAAAATAAAAACTCAGACTCAAAATACATATGCATTTTGACTATTCATCCAGCAAGATGACATGATTATTTCTCTTTCTCCTGGATATCTGTCTATCATACAAATAAAAGGAGATATGATAATGCATCTTGAAGTTATACGATTACAACTGCAACCATTTTCCTTTTTTTCCACTATGTCATATATGAAGGAACATTTTACATCAAGTTTAGAACTTCAGATAGAGTTTTCTAATAGTTTAGTGTAATTGATAACCACCTCACAACTTTACGGGAGACATTATTGCTTTAATTAAGAAAGACAATGATTGCTTCCCTAAATCCTTAAATATTCCTTTCATGTACATAGTATTTATCAATTAGAATCCATTGAGTTTTTCAGGGTAAGTTAAATATTTGGAATTATTCAGTTCCAAATGTCTTTCAAACAACAATTCTGTAATGCTATATATAAGTAGTACTGGACAACTTAAAAATTAACCAAAATGAATAAGAGATGTACTTTATTGGATCTTCATTGATTTTTTTCTTTTGAGAATATATATATATACAAAGGTGTTAATAAATGAAAGCTAAAAGTTTGGTCTGGTTATCTTTTTCATGTTTACATTACTGTATTACTAACATGAGAAAGTTCTTTAAAGATTAATAAGACCAATATATCATGTCTGAAAATGCATCACACAGTGTTGTTTTGAAGGATCAATAATTAACCAAGCCTTTGACCAGCACTATTTAGGATAATGCATCCTTTTGTTGTTTCAATGCTAAACATATGGAAATTTTATAGAAAATCCACAGCCTTTCCCCTTGTACTCTTATATTTGACAATTAAAAACTTAAAAGAACGGGGATTACTGTGTGCAATTGCTAGCAACAGAGCAATGATTTCCCTAGATATTGTTTAAACATAAACTAATACGGACCAATTCAAGTGCACCTTCTAGGAGGTTTTTTGGTTTTAAAGGTTGTTTATGACTTTTGTAAACAATAAACGCTAGCACAACATGGACAAACAAGTGAGAACTCTATTTTTAAAATGTTATAACAAAAATATCTGAAATAAAGCCTGTGGGTTTTCTGCAAAAATCCTCATGTTCTACTAAATGCATTGACAAAATAAATTTATTGCTGTGTACAAGGTTTTCCCTTTGATATAAGTACACAATGGCACATATCTTTAATTCAGTATTTTTGCTGCTTTGATATCATTGCACCTTTGAAATTTCGTGATAAACAGGCCAACAGACATGACAGATGGAGTCATAAACCTCAAGAAAGAAAAATTCTCAAAAGCTTTCCTTCTTTTAACTGCTCTAATTTGTGATCTGGAGGTCAGAGTTGTTTATTTGATTCAGCTGTCATATGAACCAAATTAGAAACTCAGTTCTGTCCCCTGCATCTGTAACACTATATTGACAGTAACAGAGTAAGGTTCTTGTATATATTTGATTACAATACAAGTCTTTTATCAGTTCATTTCATTTTGTTATATAGTAGTGTGGTTTTTTCACTCTTTAAAAAATGCAAAATTTACTGTTGGAATGCTGTGTGATTGTCAGTACTCAAAACTATCTTACTGACAGTGACACTGTCAACCGGTCTAGAGGTCATGCATATTTCATCTTATGAGATAACAAAAATTTAGACCTGCGGGCAATTCGAAGTATTTGTTTCCAAGATGATCTTCTCCTTTCGAACAAGTTTCCAATGTTGGATTTTTTCTCCAAGACTGTCTCACGAAATTCAATATTCGTCTTGTTATTCCTGTAGTTTTTGACATGCTTATGTCATTTCGGATATTTTTCCCGTACTTGGTCCCACAGTTATAGGTTTTGAGATAACCAATGACCAATAAACTTGGCAGACGACTTATCCCACAAAGATTGAAGATCCCACTACAAGAACTTTTTTTTATTACAGAAGAACTGACTAAAAGTAAACCTCCCTAATATTAGAGACTTATCCTTTTTTACCTAATAAAGAGGGGAGAGGGTAAGATTTTCTAGTTATTTTGAAAAGGGGGTTTTTTTTCAAACAAAATTTATGGATAGGGGATCAACTTCTTTTGCCAAATTTGGTAAACTTAAAACTTATAAATTTAATAGAAAAGGAAGAAACCCTGTTTTCAAGTAATATTGTACATTAGAATAATTTCATATATATCCACGTAATTAAGCACATCCCGTCAGTGTAACTAGTAAAAGGGGGGGGGGGGGGGGGGGGGGGGGGGGGGGTGGGGTTCCAACATATGCAAGTCAATTAAAAAGAGGGGGTTCAAACCTTATGTCCCCATACAAAATAGTTAGTTGTCAAACAAAAAGGGTTTTCAACCCCAGAACACCCCCCCCCCCTTGGGTCCACCACTGCATGTAGCACTAAACATTTCAGCATCCCTTAGGGTCACGATATATGAAGCATTGTGGATATTCAATTATCTACTATTGATGTAGCTGTGGAACTGTAACTCAAATGGTACTTATTATGTTTTCTGATTAGTGTGGAGATTGTTCATATGGTAAAATGGTTAAAAACCCAGGTTTCGTAAAAAATATAAGGACCATAAGAGCTATGGTTCCGCAGCTACTAGGGTATAGATGGTTGAGCAATGAGAGCATAATACTTTCTTCTCCATTTACCATCATTAAAAGAAGTGTTTAAAACACAATGCATTTAAAAAATAATAATTGCTTAATTAAGTCTTTCAAGTCACGCTCTGCTGCTCGTTTCTAAAAAATCTTACAACTTAAATTGATTGTAAGTTATTAATATATTCTAAAATGTTCCTGACTTGCAAGTATTTTAACTTTTTAGCAATTCTTTACTTATCAGATCTCCATCAGACAGATGAACTTCTATCCAGCAATAAAACTCAAAAATTGTAAGATATCTAAATGCTAATGTATTCCTTTAACAATATACAGCTGTCTTTACAACATTTAAAATAAAGTTGTATATTACTTTGAGTCAAGAAAAGTTGTTGATTAAAGAGTTAGAAATATCCTTCATCTGATAAGCCTGAAACTCAGTTAAGGACCAAAAAAAAAATTAAGATGTATATATATATATATATGTATATAACCATGGAAGTATTATATTGACAATATAATACTTCCATGATAATAACCGAAGACAACCACTGATAAGGTTCCATGCAGTTTTTGGACAGGCACATGAAAATGTGGGTGAGTATTTTTGGTCAATTTTGCCTGGATCATATTTATTAAACATGCAATTATGTTGGAAAAATATTTCTTACATATGTATTGGGTATGCAAATGTTATATTGATTTAAACTATTTATGTTTTACATCTAATCATTTAATTAACACTCTTTTTTTTAGAGAGAAAGAGATGAAGAAAAGTCATGGTTAAATATCTTGGTTTGGATTATTTTAAATTGGTAAATTGATTTGCCTACATAATTTAAAAGTGTCTGTCTAGATCCATCTCTTGGTTTACATTCTATTAGGTATAGTCTTGCCTCCAGTATTCATCAAAATTAATATTATGCTTAGACAAGACAAGACTATGTTTATCTCAGTAATACCTTAGTTGTAGGAACAATAGAGGTTTAATATATCTGATGAATTATTATTTTTTTAAAACTCAAATCACACTTGGCACATGGTTAATATCAATATTTTGTCTTGTAGACCACTGTACTTGTTAATACACTGCATAATTGACCATTATAACGTTTTGTTATGCATTTATTTGTCATTTCTTTTTTCCAAACCAAAATCATTCAGTAACAATTTGAATACCCCATTAACATTTTTGTACACTTTATCCAATCATTATTCTATCTAGTTACACATTAATTCATTGATAATGCATAGAGAACTTTATATTTGTAACCCTATGTAAAAATTTTGAGATGGGGTATGATTTCCAATGAGATAAATATCAAGTAAGACCAAAGAAGGAGAAGGTGACTATCTTCAGGTCACAATACAGTCCTTCAAAATGATCTATACTGGAAACTAAGAGTTGTAATAGGCCTCTGGTTAACAAAATATGAAAAATTAAAATATCCAACCAATAGCTTTATGTAAGTATCTCAAAAGCAAAAACTAACGAATGAAAAAAATTACATCAACTGGTGTGAATGGAATCAGTTTCTTGCTTTGGACTTACACATATAGATCGGCATCCAGGCAAAATAGCCAACCTGCTTTCTATATCGTACAGACTTCAGTTGAAGAATACATAGTGAACATTAAAGTTTATTTTATTTCTGAAAATATGAAATATAGGATAAAATAAAACTCTTAACAATTTTTTTTCAAATGAGATTATTATTCAGGTAATTTTATGTGATTCTTCGTTGACTTTGTTAGTAATTAATATTATTTGAATAAGTTTTCATCCACTGAATTACTTGAGGTGCTGTTTATATTTAGGAAATCCAACCACTGCTTATATATATATGAACATTATTTTTTCATTTAATCAATAGCATCAGTTAAGTAGGTGAACTTAAATTATAAATCACTTCACATTTTAACTAAACTATGTTATAGATTTGACATTTATTCTGTGTATGTTTACCGCTCAAACAGTTACATTTATATTTATCAAAAGAAAACCAATGGCTTTCATATGTATTTCAATAGGCTGTAAATAGTAAAAAAGAATTTCTCAATAAGGCTCTTATAGCTGTACCAGAACATCTAGAAGTTATAGATCTATACACTCATAAAGGCAGTTTTGAAGATGAAAGATATAGAAACCCATGGAAAAGGGGTAATTTTATGTTATGTATTAAACAACTTTTTATGTGTATTTGTGTTAGGAATAACATATACTTGTGTTATTTGCATTTTTCCTCTATAGCAAACAAAATTGAAAAATCAACTGATAGCGTACTTTAGAGGAAAGCAGTCAATACATCATCAGATGAGAAAGAGAAGAAATGAGGCTCATGATTTAAAAAAAAAATATATTCTTCCCTTTTCAAAGCTAAAAAGATTGATCATCCTATTGAAAATGTTTTTCAGAAAAAATAATTTTAAGTCAATTTTATATAAAAAGTCAAATTTGTTGCACAAACATGGCCAATCGTTTGGCTATGAAAGGGCATTGATGGGAGATAACTCTAGCGAATTAAGACCTCTACTCAAGGATTCCCATTTCTTTCCAATTGGGGCTAGAAACTCTGTTCAAGGGAAAGTGTAAATTTGTAGTTTATGTTCCAGTGACCAAATGGGGAAATAAGATTGCAATACATGCATTAATGAAAGGTAATGTAAAACTTGTTGATTGGAATGATTTCTGCCTTGATTTTCCAAAGGAAAACCCTGGTACATGTCTCAAAATGGATTCATGCTGTTTCTAACCTAGTATGGCTGTTTTCAAAATTTTGCTTGAAAGGAGGCAAAAGTAAGTATGTTCTGCAAAACTGCCTTACATATTTTTGGTAAATTATGAAAATTGAGAGACAGAAGTCCACATAAATTGATAAAGAATTTCATTTCAAGATGGAAATCATAAAAAAGTTTGCTTTCATCCATATGAGTGGGTTAGGAATTATCAGTTTAAAAATCTGCAAAACTGCCTTACATATTTGGGGAAATTATGAAAATTGAGAGACAGAAGTCCACATAAAATGATCAAGAATTTCATTTCAGGATGGAAAGCATAAAAAAAAAATTGCTTTCATTCATATGAGTGGGTTATGAATTATCAGTTTTAAACTCATCTATTTCAGTCAGTCTATCAAAATTTCGTTATTATTTTCTTGCAGAACAATTTATTGAAAAAAATTTCTTCATCTTATGAGATGACATTTGGTTGAAAACAACATCAACATTTAGATGTACAATTAAAAATGAATAATCCTTTGAATAAAGTGTAACAATTCAATGAAATTATGTATGCATCACGAATTGTTTGCTTGGTGATGTATTATTCCTGAATTCAACATGGAACTCTCCCCTTAGTCATACTGAGATTTTGGTTTTTCCTTCTAATAATCTTACTACACTTGATAGTAGACAACATCATAGCAAAATGGTTTCCATATTAATAGTAAGTCCATAATATAAAAATATTCAAATCTTGACTATGTTCAAGGCAACAGTATACTATATAGTAGAACAGTTTTCTTGTAAAGTCCATATATATGATTATATTTTAATACATGAACTTGATTTTATATTTCAGCTTCTTATGACAGAAAATTCCTTAGTGAAGAAAGATGCAAAAGTACTTGTTTTGAGGCTGCAGTACCTGAGATAAATATTGGAAAAGCTGTTGAAAAGTTTGATAGGTATAAGAGTTTCACAACAATTATAAGCATATATATACAGGGCAACATGGTGATGGGAAATGGTATAATACTTACACTCCCACTATAAAAGGAATGGAAGACTATGCCTTTAACCCTCATCCTACTTATTAGCCATAAACTGAAAAGCAGTAATACATCTCATAGTTGTTCATTTTGTTTCTTACAATTCCCTATAATGCTATTTGCATTACACAAAATGCAATACCTCCACCCCACCATGTCCAAAGTAATGAAATATGATCCACTGCCCTTGCTTATTGGGTGTTAGGTGATCTATAAACCATGAAATCAATATACCACCATTCATTGAATCTTGAAAAATTCATATCCTGATATTCTTCATATTCTATGAAGTAACATAGTGAAATCATACCAGCTTTTTGTCAACTTAATGGTATGGTCTTCATCATAGAGCTAAGGTCTCATATCATATAAGCCTCAAACAAAAACTATGAAATACAAGTATATGTTGAAATTATAGAGGAGACATAAAATAGATAAAAGTAAGATGATCAAATAAAAATCTG